CCTCCAAGTTGGGACTCCGCGCGGTCCCACCAACCAAGGCATGCATGTGGACCTTTTTTTTTCCCTTTTGGGTCGTTTCTTTGCCCTCGCGGGGTCCTGTCGGTGACCACGGGCTTTGAATTGCCTGCGTGCGGCCCGATCGATCAATTGCTCTATTGACTTGTCTTGCCGTGACAGAGGTTAAGTTACTAGGTACTGTACCTTAAGTAGGTATTGGTCCTGCACATCATGCACAGACCGAGTCCCTGACTTATAATCAGGTAACCCCCCCCCCACGCTTGAGCAAACCTGTAATCGGCAGATCGACCACCGCGGCGGGCAGCTGTTTATCTTACCGAATATAGAAAGCGGCCTAATCAACAAGATGTCCCGTGGTCATCCAGTCTACGGATAGTGATAAGGTATGCTCTTGTTTCTTCTTGTGCAAGACATCAACCAAGTTTTCCTTGAACCTCTCCCTACGTATAGCATTCGAAATGCCGTATATTGCCTCCTCCTTTCAACAATAAGAAAAGTAAGCGGAGAGAATGCGGTACTGGGAGTTCGATGTTGCACGCATCCATATAATATCATTGTACTGTACTTATCAGTACTGTATCACTTTGCCCGCATCGCAGTCCGTGTAACCCCAGCGCATGTCTTGCCATGCAATCGTTGCCACGCATCGCATCTCGTAGGGCTTCCAAGGAGGAAAGGGCTCAGGACAAGCTGTCAGTATAACGTCTCATCCAGCCATTTGGGAAGCCAGGTAAAGAAAAGTGGGAAAGCAATAGAAAGTCTAAAATCCTGGCCCGTCGAAAAAAGGCGCTACCGCACCGTCCATAGGTTGAATTTTCTTCCTATCGTGGTACAAAAGTCCCCTTCCTCCTCTAGGTGAGAACCAACGATGCGGATGCATGTTACTCTGAAGCTAGCAAAGTCTCCACTGTACTAGGAAGTGGGGGAGGGGAGTACGGACAACCAACCCTCAATTGTCGGTCTCCTTTTGCCCCGGGTTGGTTTCTTGTGTGATTCTCTGTGCATTGCGTTTCTATTTCCCTCTGCAGGGCAAGATTGGATTGCCTCCGTAGATCGTGGTAATGTGCTGGGTATAACCAGGCTTTCCTTGTGCAAAAGCGAGGTGACGACATACTTTCCAGATGGGATGAAATGCTGATCATTGTAGGAACCATGATTAGCCTCCCCTTGCTCGCTTGCCCTTTGCAGGAAGAGTGTCTCACTCCTCGAGGTGCACAGTACAACCTGGGAATTGGGCTTAATTAGCTATAAACTACATCATGGAATTCTCCTTTGCGTGTTCGGTCGCGCTTCTCCCATAGGCTCTGGTATGCCGATTTGACTCCCTTAAAGTAGGACACCAGACCATCATCAGCGCAGAAGCCGCGCAAGGCCATTCTACTCGGGGTTTAGGGCTCCATGTCCTCTAGAAGCGCCAATGTCCAATGCTTTCTTCCGTGGCAAGGACAGACAACGAACAAAGCTCAAGCTTCGCTTCGACTCCCGACCAAAGCCCATCATCGACCCTCCCCCCCACAGCCTCCTGCGGAGCTCATAGTTCACGCGCTAATACAGGTACGAACACTTGGCTCTTTGCTGCATCCTCCAGACTGAGCCCGATGCGCTCGCACCGGAGATCTAGATGGTGTCAGTGACTACTAGGGACCGATCCCTCCCCTTTGAATCATTTATCTGGTAATGGCGATACCTGCCGTCCATCTGTCTCGCCCCAACACTGTTTTCAAGGGTTTCGAGTCCCAAGATACGAGGTTGGTGTATCACAATCGTTAGTTGGTGTACTGTACATCTCCCCCGGCCTTTACGCGATTTTATGCGAGAATCGACTCGAACCATGGTTAGGGTTCGGAGTGACATTCCCAGCCCCCGCCCACCAACTTACTCTTTGCAGAAGAACTACACAATACTGTAAATACCATATGTACTGTATGTACTATGGAGATCCAATCCCTTCTGGTGTGGGAGTACTCAGGGGAGCAGGAGCTATACAAGCACAAGGTCATGCATGCATACTAGACGCATGATGCAGCGTATGCATGGTACCATGTATTGTCTAATACCGGGCATAAATGTATTAACGTTACCGTATGGACTGTACAGTACATGTGTGGCTTGGTTGTTGAGATAAGGGAAGAAGAGATGGGAAACCATAAGTGATGAGGTAGTGCTAATGCTACGGCTCTAGATTCAGTTAGTCGAGCAGTGTACGGAGTACTCAACAAAGCACAGGAACCATGTGGCGGGCTAGACCGCTGGGAATAAGGTGGATAACGGAGCGTGGGACAGGGACCCATTTTCTCCTTTGCGTCTAAGACTTGTGTATAGTGTAGTTTAGTCTACAGACCACGAGTCTGGCGAACTCCGATTGTGGATAGCCGAGATCTCGCGAGAGGAGAGATTCTCGGAGAAAGGAAGAGCGAGAGAGCGAGGCTAAGTCAAGTTACTGAGAGAAAGCAGATGCCACCACTGCCACACTGCCACACCACTTGGCTGGACCTCTCTAGTCTGTTTTGTCTCTTAAGTCTTAACCTTAGTGGCGGCATGTATTTTACACCAAGAGGCCAGCGGTGTCACCCGGAGGTATTGCACTAAGAAATCCTGCCCTGTGGAACCCGAACCACCCATATACCCCCCCCCCCACCCCACACCATCCTGTCTTCTCTCTCTGGCTCTCTCTCTCTCTCTACCCGCTTGAACTGCTGGGAGCTTTGGAGTTGAAACTCCCGGAAACTAGTACTAAACTCAACAAATTCTGAACTCGCGGGTCCTCAAGAGAGGTAGTGATTATAGTCTACTCGTCGCGATCGTGATAACAAGAAAAGGCAGAGCATGAAGGATCTGCGGTCCGGGCCCCCCTCCTCCCCCCCTCCCCTATGGTGGACGTCAGAAATACGTTCGTCCGTATCTCTGGGTTTTGTTGTTCGGCATCCCCGAGACTCAACGCGCTAACCCTAATTTAGAAGACTAAAAAGAGCGCGGGATTCAGAATCATTGCCCCAAATCTGGTATCAATCAGTGTCTTCAAGGTTAGCTTGTTCTTGTTTTGGCTTGAGAGCCAAGGTACCAGTTGACGTTAGTTAACTAAATCGCCTTAGTGATGGTTCGATAACAGATGGTGGACTATGGGTGAACCTCGAAGCGAGGACCACTCCTAACTCATAATCGTACTGGCTGTGTGCTCGCTCCTTGGCGAAGACCCTGAGAAGGGTATGATTCTGAATTTACCTACTATGTAGTAGCGAACTTTCGCGGGTCGCGAAGGGACGATTGGCGGGATGGTCTTTGTGTTATGGGTATGTTGGTCATCACCGAGTCTAGATTCAGGGACTTGGGTCTCGGTCCCGAAGGTCCGTAGGTGTAGGTCTTCTTTTGGTAGGCGCCCACTGCACCGTGGACCGTCGAACAGTGGTTGGCGCTAGGGCCGGATGTCAAAAATGGATGCCCAGTGAAGACTACTGGGCCCTAGGTACCGAGTAGACTAGACCCTCAACCATGTGATGGATGGGACAATTAGAGCTTGTCCTGAGGACTCGTTTTTTTTATCATGGTATACCACACGCAATCTTCTAGATGTGTTCATGACATCATGCATGATCGTCTTTCATTCTTCTCCTCGATTAGAGAGGAGAAATAAAAAGCAATATACCTCCCAAGCATGGAGAGACAAAGGTGTAGGTAGGGATTGACTGGACACAAGCGAATCATGTTCTATCAAAACTTTACTCCGTGAGGTAAGGACAAAGTTATCAGGATTCTTATCCTGGTGGATACTACATGTACCAGCATCGGGGGTTGAAGATCAGGAGAGAGACAAAAGAAGTCTGGGGTCTGGGGGTGAAGACTGGAGTGTAGCAGGGTGGGTTTGTCCGTGTGCCACAATGGATCTGTGGGCACTGATGTGTTTGACTCAGTACATCTGGAAATTATGGGACCCAGCGCGTGAGCGACTAGTACTGTGAGTGACTTACGACCCTTGGACTGCTCGGCTCGTTGAATAAAGTATGAACCGATGTCAGGTACACTACGGAGTATGGAGTACATAACCTATGGCATCCACCGGCCGAAAGAAATTCATCCCTCGCGTTGAGTTTTGCTGGGTCCTATTTCCCCGGGGCCGAGTTTCCCCTTCTTGTCTGCCGCAAAAGCCTTTGGCCCCATTCCGATGCTAGTAGGAAATCATGACCGACTGGTTGGGTGGCCCTCTCCCATCCGTTTCAAGCCACGCAGCTGTCAATGCCACGAGGTCTTTTAGACTGGGGAGGAGGAGAGGCCAATCAAGTTTACGAGGAGGGTCACAGCAGAATGTCCGTCCGGCGAATGGGAGATTGAGGGAAGCGATGCAGAAGAACAAATCAATCAGCATTACTTCTCTTACCGTACACTTGATAACACTCAACGATCGGGATCCCGAAAATAATTACCTGCCTGGGACCCCCCTCCCCCTTTCTGGTAGGATGATGGGGACGGATTGGTGAATAAGGATCAACAAATCTGCATCATCTCCGTGGATTGCAACAAGGACGGGGGCCAGGTTCCTTGCTGTGGTTGGGATTGATCGTGCATGGTGTTGACAAAGTAAAGGCTTGATCCCATAACCATGGTTCGCTTGGGCAAGAGAGTTGGACTTTCGCGCCATCTTTGCCATACTTTAGTAGTCCTGAGCGGCACTAAACCATCATGATTGTGCTGTACTAGGCATCAGATGATGAACCCGTACGGGAAACTAGTGGAATAATTCAACAGGAGAACAAACCTCAACTACGGCCGAAAATCCGTCCCACTGAAGCAGAACTGTCCAGACCCTCTTTATCTCGTGATCAATTCTGAAAGTCTCCATTGAAGGGGGCTATACTCGTGGGTCAAAGCATTGTTTCTCAAAACGAAGCCGAGGGAGGGGCAGCGGGCTCAGAACAATGATACATTAGCATTAAAGTCATACAAAGAGCCTCATCCACACACAAACAACGCTCCAGACTGACTGACTGATTGACACCACGTCACTCCGGTTGCTGAAGACGTGGCTGAACTCACCGCACCCCTGCCACAACCGCCCATTTTGAGACTGCAAAGGACTTAAGTGCTTTGCTGTATGCAACGGCAGATGCCGAACCATACATTCTTTTTATACCTTGCCAATCTTTGACTGATTGGCTGCTGCTGCTGCTGCTGCTGGGTGCAGATACCTGCAAGTCCTGTACATGAGCACACGAAAGAGTAAAGTATGTCCACTCACTACTGCACTCTTTGGATGATCGAGGTAGATCCTCGGGGATCATCTGGTTACCTAACTATGGTGACGAAAACATGATGGAGTTCATGGGGTCCCACTTATCACCAAGATCGCGATCAGCGACACCTGTCGACTCTCCACAGTTCCAAGTGTAAGAAATCCCGAGTCTAGTGTGAGTGACACATGGCCAAAGAGGGAGCTAACTGACTATCAGCAACCAGACGCGGGAGAGGGCGGGCACCCGGGGGGTTAGGCTTAATCCCCGGTAAACGTGCTCTGGGATGGGAAGAGCAAATGACTGGCAAGTGGGAACGCCCCGGCCGCGCCGATAGGGAAAATGGAGCAAGGATGCACGAGCCATACTTGTTGGGGTTAAGTGCAGTCGACGGGGTGGGAAGAGGCTGGCTGAGCCAATTCCAAATTCTTGGTTCGGCCGCGCCGGATTGGACCTGCATTGCCTACTGTATGTACTGTATGTACTGTATGTACTGTACTATACACAATATGTGTGTGAAGTTCCAATCGTAGATCATAAGGTGATCATTCCTTTTCACATACGACGTGCAGTATTTACATGACTTGATGCATTGCTAGAGCGTTCAGGTTCCTTTTGCATCCCGTTTCTGGATTCTTGGACATATTAACACGTAGAGTTGTGGTTGATACAGTGACTGGTGGGGGCCGTTGCTGAGGTTTAAGTATAGGTTATTATAGGTTACGAGAACAGCTCCAGACCATGTTCTGGAAGCATTCAAGGTAGTTTGGACTCTACGATGGGTGAGATATCACAGCATCATCTGAGTTGATGATGATAGAGTCAGGACATGACATATCGTTGAAGCATGGGAATACTTACTAGGTGTGTCGAAAGAAGAGATGCAAGTGACGTCATTGTATATGTGCTGGACCGTGAACTGGTCAGGGCTTTAGATTTATCTAGTGCTCTAAACAGAAATATAGGATTGGAGAACTGTCTTCTGTATGGCTTCGAGAGTTTGTGTAAATAGCAACCTTGTCATTGATCGAGTTGTCATGTACAAGAGCGCCCAAGATTTATGCAGCGAGATCGTGCTCTCCGCACTTTTTGTATATTGTGGCCAGTGCTCACCACGACACATAACCACACTGCATAAAATGTGTTTGATATGCCTAGACATGTGTAGACTCTATTCATTCCCCACATGCAACTCAAGCTATGGCGCTCATGATTTATGAGTTGTCTTTCCTGTGTTTTTTTATCACACTTCGAAATATGAGCACGTGGTCGATCTTTGTAGATTGGAGATTGCTAGATATGCTGGAGGTAAATTAGGTTTGCAACCACATGGTAGATGGAAATGACAGTCTCTGAAAGCAGATTATAGTCTTTTCTGTTCTATATCAATGCATCATGCTTGTAGATAATTGTATACCGGACGCAATCTGAATTTCCGTGCCTGCATCCAAACATCTCCTTTCGGCTAGCCGTTCCTGCCCCGCATTCTTGCCTCATCCCGCCGCGCTGGAGGAAGTCGTCATTGCCATTCTCCAACTCAACACTCCGCCAGGACTGCAGCAGCTGCAACACAGCATCCGACACCACACATTCGGCATTATGCAACTGGGTCTTTCGGAAAGTCTTCCGGCTCTGGTCAGTCGACGATTCACAACCGCCAAAGATGCTGGCCATCTCCTCTTTTCTCCAACCCAGCTCGTGACACTCCATGCTTCGGGGGTACCGGTAAATCATGTCCTTGTGCCATCAATCCCTGGGCTACGCGCAAGCTTTGCTGACGCCTTCACCCAATCTTGCCCTAGTATCAACTTCGTTACTGTCCAGCTCTCGCAAAGAAGCCAACGAGTACCCCGAAGAACGAAAACGCCAACCCTAGCGGACCGAAGTTCGATCCCTTCGAGAACCCGTCACCGGAGCTTCTAATAGCTCAGATCCCCCGCGAAAATCCGACCCATTTCTTGGTCCTCAACAAATTTCCCGTGATTCCCAACCACTTCATCATCGCCACAAAAGCCTGGAAAGCCCAGACGGATCTTCTGGAGAAGGAAGACCTCGCAGCCGCCTACGCCTGTGTCAAAGCATGGGCCGAAGCAGAGGCTCCGTCCTCCGCGCGCGACAGGAAGCTGTTCGCCTTCTTTAACTCGGGCGACGAGAGTGGCGCGAGTCAACCGCACAGGCACCTGCAGTTCCTTCCCGTGGAAGCGATGGCCCAGCAGGAGCAACAACAGGAGCACTCGGACGACTGGCGGCCTCTGATAGATATTGTCGCCGCCACCGCGCAACCGGCAGCCACCGGCGGGTCTGGTGGCTATCGGCGGTCGGATCGAGTTCCCTTTGCCCACTTCGCGCTCCCCTTGCCGCCAAACCCCTCGAGCGAGACCCTCTTCGCAACATATCTTTCTCTGTACAGGGCTGCGGTAGCTGCAGCTGCAGCAGCTGCCACAAACAGCAGCAACAGCAATCGCCGCGTCCAAGAGACGACCGGCCCCGCCGCCGTCAGCTATAATCTCGCCATGACCGAGTCCTCGATGATCATCTGCCCCCGGAGAAGGGAAAGCGCACACGTCCCAGTTGAACCTGGCGCCAGTGCGGATGTCGCCGAGGCTGGAGTGGTCGCCCTGAACGGCACCATCTTGGCCGGAACCCTCATGGTCAAGGCCGAGGCCGAATGGACCGAGTTGCGCCGCAATCCGCAGTCATTGAGCAACGTACTTTCGACGATTGGCTTTCCGCAGTTGAAACTGCCGGAGGTTTCGCAGCTATAAGGTGTGAAGCATTATGCTAGCTTGGTTAGATGAGTCACATATGCATCAGTGAATCTGCACATATCTACGGAGTAAACTTTTGTGTCTTACCTACTTTTACGTGATAGAGATATAATACCATTGGTTTATTTTCGGAAAGGGACTGTAGTATATAAGAGTAGATTGACTGCTAAATTGGCTGTATAGATGGCCCCCTACCGCCCACGCAAGCGATTTCTACATCGTAGTTCTACACTTGAGACCCCTCCCCCCTCTTCTATTTCCAATCCAGTCATACAGAGCAAGGCGAACAGACAGACTGAAAGACAGGAAATAATTTCCCCATGTTCCTGCCGGGAAAGAGCGAACCGGCAATGTCAATAAACCAGCCGGTCAGTCAGTCAGCCGGGCCATCTATCATCTTCCGCCGGGCAACGGCAACCTTCCTTTCTTCTATTCTCACTCAACACTTCACATCATGCACCTCACACCATTTCTTCTTGCACGCTGCATTTCCAAAGAGGTATGAGCCTCCGTTCTCATATATATAGAGCGCCACCTGTTTCCAGGATACCTTCGGCGGCTGAGCGAGGGTGGGATTTCGAGACTGGTAATCGAAGAGGTACGGGCACTGCGACACCTGTCGGCCGTGTCCCAACCGAGTCACCGCTTCGCAAAGAAGTTGAATCTGCAACAGGAACGGACGTAAGAAACTCAAGGTCAATATATGGGATTATGCTCACAGTTGAATCACGCAACCAACAATAGGGAGGGGGGTGGGGATCAATGAACTTTACATCTCTATCTTGCCATTGCGGCTTTCTCACTCGGGAGTGCTTGGGTTTGGTCAAAGTCCGATATCTGCCACGAAGGGTGGATTCGGCCTCGGCGAAGTTGCAAACCTCCTTGATGGTCTTGTACGAAAAGCCTTGCTGCTTGTACTTGATCAAGAGCTTGTTCTTGGCATCGGATCCGCGCGTTGTGGATTCTCTGAGTGCGCCTCCTATCCCAATCGCTACATGTCCGTTGGCTGGGGATAACTGCGGCTGGAATGGAGGGGGGAGCGGATGATGTGAAGGAGCAAAGGTAGACGAGTCCTGATGTTGATAAGAGTATGTCGGAAGAGGCTGATAGTAGGTTGGTGTCTGACTTGTCATTTGTCTCTCCGGGACCGGAAGTATGTCAGGATAGCCTGTTTTGCCAGGACAGACTCCAGCTAATGGACTTGGAATGTCCGACCACCCGTCATGGCTGGACTGAAAACTGTCATCTGGAGAGTGATCCGGCATTGAAATCAGCTGGTCGAAAGTACCACTCAGGTCATCATTGCATAAATGGGCTGTTGCGCTGGACACACAAGGTGAGGAATATGCCAGTTCATCGTGGCTGATATCCCTCGAATGCGTTGCACATCCCACTTGATAAACTTTAGGTATGGACCAGGTGAGAGCACTGGTGGTATCTTTCGTCTCCTCTGCGCTTCTAAAGCTATCGTTGAATGTCACAACGGAGCTATAATCCCATGGTACTTCGACTTTCGGCAGTGGGACTTCAGCATCGTTGTTGCTGGTGGCTATTCCAGGCTCTTGATGCGCGACACTAATGAGGTGATCGGCGGGCAGGCACTCACTGCCCCTAACGCCAGAAGCAACCAGGTCCTGCTTTGAGCTTAAAGCTCTGTGTGGAAACAAGAACGGCTCGTTGGCCACGGTGCTCGTGTCGAATTTGATGTTCGGAGGACTAGCAGCGCTAGAAGCATCGTCCAGGCATACAGCCGGAGAACAAGCCACAGGTGCCTTCTGCAGCGGCTCTGAGACAACCCCAAGGTGTTCAAGTTGATTGCAGTCTGTTAGCAAGGGACTCCGTTTGGCAGGCATGTACGAGCAACAGGCTTCCGCTAATGTCGGAAGAGGAAGACCGTGAAAAGGTGGCTCTTCACGCTTGGCCGAATCGAGTGTAGAAGGAAAGATCGACCAGTAGGAGATCTCTCTCTCTTTGATCGAGTCTGAGATCATCATATAGGTGTTTGTCATTTCGATGATTTTCGAACAACGCTGGTCAACCTTCATTGGACGCTGCGACTCCGACAACAGGGCTGATCAGGTAACAGTATCAGACTCAACTCGCAGAATATCTGACAAAACACAGGAGTGTATTCAACCTACCTTCAGCAAGATTTGCCAGAGCGTGACATTAAATGAAGGTGCTTGCCAGGTGACTTGCTTTTTAGCTAACGAGCTTCTCGAGGAAAGATAGGCGGCGTTTTTTAAGATGCCACGCTCCACTTCCTTGCTCAGTTCACCGCTCCAGTCTTTGACTGCTCGTATGTTCTCCTGGAATAGCGAGATTTGGACTTAGATGTCGTATCATGCGCGTTGTCGGGCGAGTCAGGGCACCTGCAGGCAGCGATGCAGTCACTCAGCACATCGAACTCCATATGGTGAGGTTTCACTTGTTGTTGAAGAGTTGCGGTCAACTTACTCAGAACATAGACCAGGCGATTGGTCTGTCGCACTCGGAGGCGAGATTCAGTTGCAATGCCTTTACCCTCAACGAGTCCCAATCGAAAGGCTAGCCCCTGCTGTGTTTCGGTCGAAAGAAACAAAAAGCACGGAGAAAGATGGCAGTGGGCGTGAATGATAATGGAAGGGACAAGGAACAGCCCGGTATCCAAGACTTGGTCACTTTCCGCCACTCGGTCCAACAGCGAACAATGTCTCAGTCCACTGTCAACGCTCTTTGTGGCAAGTGTTATGGCTCCAGCACAGCGGACGCAATGGGGTCGTCACAATATACAATGCGTTCAGCTCAAGACACCGTCTCTAATCCAACACGCGAACGTTGACACTTGAAGAAAAAAGATAGTAGCTCTCGAGAAATGTCCAGGGCAGTCTTTAAGCTCATCGAGGAAGAGCAGAAGCGATGTGCCCCTTAAGTCCTTCTCTAATTCCATATCCCTGACAGTCGTGATGCTGCGATATGAGTATTGAGGTCCCTCCACACTTCCGGAACCACCTTCCTTGTCCCCTCTCTCCGCTTCCCCGGCCTAGTTGTTGAGGACTGAAGCATGTCCCCTTGAATGGCTTGCCGAAAAGGCGTGGAATCCGACCGAAAAGGCCTAAAACCTCGACGACCAAGCTCTCATTCCAGCTCTTCCTCATATCAAGCTCCCGCACGGAAGGCTCAACCATGGAACTCATCTGGAAGGAGGGTCATAAGCCGAATAGAAGATCATCTCGTGGCGTTCGGCGACGAAGAACAGGACTGGCAAGGATCGATAGTCGATTGGTCAGATCTGAATCAGGATTTTCCAACTGTCAAGGGCATTTTCTTCAAGGTTTCTGGGACCCAGGATGAGACTCCACTGTCATTAACCTGGGATTCATCTGTGATTGGGTGTGGTTGGTTTGGCTGTGCTGGCAACCAGTTCGGATACTTACATATAGGGCTTTGTCCGCTTCCCTTACTTCATCCACCGCGACGTTTGATCGGAGAATTCACCACAATTCCCCGGTAGATCTGCCAGCGTACCTGGTCTCCCTCTCTTTGTGTTGTGAATAGATCTCTATGGATCCGATATTTTTTTTGCTTTTTCTACTACTTTCTGGTCGCTTGTCGACTGGCCAGCTCTAGCTTCTCTCTTGCTCCCCCAAGCCTCCCTCCACTCCACAACGGACGACGAAACGTTCCTGCATCTGCAGGTCAATTCCGATCTTGATCGCCAACCCATGGCCAGTGACAGGGGAATGGACGGGGAAAGAGTGGTCCAAACCCAGGATACTAAAAAACCAGAGCTCTCTCGAAGAAGGGGATTCCTTCTTTCGCGTATGAACTCCCGTGATCCAAACCAAATTCAGCCAGGATATAGCCCATATCCCTCCATCCAACCCGCCCTCAAACGTCCCTGCCTTTCCCGACCCAATCAGCAACAATCCAACGGTGATACACACAGTCGGAGCTTGCGACCCGGTGGGTTGACAGACAGATAGACAGATCACGCACGAAAGACTAGACTAACCCCCCCCCCCAAAGGTCCAGATGAGATGCTGTTGACCTATCGCTCGGCCTATCGATTCTTTCTCAGCGCCCCCCGTTCACGATGCGAAGGAACGGTCTGGATGCCCGTCTGTCTGTGGCTTGAATTGGCTTGCCTGCCTGCCTGCCTGCCTGCCTGCCTGCCTGCCTGCCTGCTCACCTGTAGGTGGCCCTATTCAGCATACCTTCCTTCCTTCCCTCCCGCTCTACATACCCGCCGTCATTTACCTTTGTTATTAGCTTAGTGACCACTGATGCTGGCGCTGATGGGGCCACGGCGCGGCGCCTGTCGGTAGGCGTTATGCTCCTTCCTTCGTCCATCCCCAAATCCTCGCCCCGCCCAGTACTCACTCACTAGACTTACTACCAATTATAGATTCTCACTCTCTTTCTCCGCTTCTAGGATCATTGATCCTGGCCATGCTGGGCCCCCTTCCCCCATCCCTGTCCTCGGGACCATCCCATGATAAAGCTGGTGATCACGTTTTATCTATCTATCTATCTATTCATCATCCAACCCCAGACCCCAGACCGAGACCATCCTCGGAAGCGAGTAAAGGAACCCTGTGCTGCAGATGATGAACTTGAGAAACTTCCGCGGGCATGCCAACAAGCCCACCCCACCGGGGCCCGGGAAAGGGGGTTCCTTGGGTCCAGTATCTCTCTTCTCGATTCGTTTTCTTCGAAGGGTCATTTGTTTTTCTCTTACAGTTATGTTGTCATTGCCTATCCCACTTGATTCTTTTCTTGGTTTCAATCTCCCTTGAGCAATTTTTCGGCGTTGGGTACCAATGGTGACACGGCCAGGGTATCTGTACATGGGTAGTTGTAGTCTACAGTCGTACATAGTACCTATGATAGTACTCGCCAGGTGTACTTACTCGTAGGACATAGTCGTTATGCCTGGAGGAAGACATTTGATTGGTCACTTCTTGATTGTACGTAGGGTATAGCTACCAGTCCACTTGGAAGCCTACTTACCAGATTCACTACATGTTCGAAGAATTTTTATGTAATGTAGACAAAAAAACACAGAAATGGCAGGGGAATGAACCAATACCGTACTTTTTTTTCATTTCCAACCCCAAAGTCCGGGGACCCCTGCTACTTCCGTGTTTAAT